ATAGAAATATAGATAGTTTAAAATACACTAAACACCCTAATACTAAAATATTTTTTGACAATATGTTTCAACACGGTGTTTGCCCAATTATTGACAAACCTACTCGTGTAACAACAACTTCCATTAGTGCTATAGATAATATTCTAACTAACTCCTTTCTAGATAAGTCCATTAAAACAGGAATAATTTAAACTAATATTTCGAATCACTTTCTGATTTTCTTTTCTTTTGCTAAACATGCAACCATATATGACAATTTTAAAATCAAAATCTTAAAACGAAAAACCAATGAACATTCTTTTAAGTTACTTACAAACAATGAACATTCTTTTAAGTTACTTACAACCAATGAACATTCTATGCTTAAATTTAAAGATTCTCTATCAACCATAAATTGAATAAATGCATACCAAATACGTCTACGTTTAAAAATCTTTGGATTACATGTAGAATAAGAAAATTTTAAAAAAAGTAAAATTATACATCAAATATTTAAAAAAACAGAAGCGAAGCTATTCTTAATGTTTAAAAAGAATATAAAAATGTATTTGAAAATATAAAAAATAGATCTAAAAAAAGATATTATTCTGAACTATTAAAAAATTATATTAGGAGCTTAAAAAAAAAGTGGGAACTAATGAAAGAAACCATTGGTAAAAATAAAAAAAAAGTTTCTGACAATTTGCCCTTCAGATTAACAGAAAACGATATTGAGTACAAAGACAAAAAAGATATATCAGAAATATTTAATCATTTTTTTTAAACACTGGTCTAAACCAGTTATTATTTTAGTGACTTTGAAAGTTCATGGTAGATAGTGATCTTAACTTTGGTGTACTAGAAACAGCAATTAAATCAATCAAAAAGAATAAGGCATTGAGGTATTGACAACATCTCTGGGAATGTTGTACTTTATGTTTTTTCTGCAATAAAAGGCCTATTTTTAATATCTTCAGCTCTATAATCAAAAACGGGATTGTCCCAAACAAATTAAAAATAGCAAAAATTGTAACTATATTTAAAGGTGGAGACAGCTGCAATAAGCAATTATAGACCAAACTCAATTTTCCATATATTTTCTAAACTCTTTGAAAGAATAATTTACTGTATAAATATTTAATAGAACACAGAATCTTAAGTGAAAATTAATACGGATTTCAAATGCAACATTTAACAGAACATGCTATTCTAGATCTCATTACTAGCATTTTTCTTTTAATGATGAGAAATTTGTAATAGGAGTCTTTTTCGATCTTAAAAGGCGCTTGACATAGTAGACTACGCAATACTGCTAAAAAAATGGAAAAATATGGCATAAAAAATCAAACTATAAAATTGTTTGCTAACTATCTAGACAACAGACAGCAATGTGTTACTATAGATCACTATAACAATTCAAAACAGCTAAAAATCAAATGTGGGGTCTCTCAAGGATCTATTCTAGCTCCTCTTGTATTTTTAATATATGCCAACAACCTCCCTAAAGTCTAATCAAAGTTAGATAGCATAATTTTTGCAGACGACATTAATCTGTTTTTATTCTTCTAGCTCAATCAGCGACCTATCCCCCCATCCTTCCCTCCACTTCACAATCTTTGTCGTCGGCCCTGAATTTAAACCAAAAAAATAGTTTAAAACGCACTAACTTAGTATAATTTTTAAGTATCATTAAATGGAATGACAAAAACAATCTTTATTTTTCAAACTATTTATTCTAAAAAAAATTATAAAAGGTTATAAAACAAAATTGTGCCATACTTTTACTTAACCTAAGAAACTTTTTTAAATTATAAATTGCCATTTATAACTTTTACTTTAAAATCAAAAATGAAAAGAAGATTCAAAAAAAAAAGTAGAGATGCTATCAAAAATTACGGGACCATTTTCAAAGACATTTTTAGCAATATGTCCTCATAACTGCATTCTTTTTTGCCGTAAAGAAACCGCGGTTTGATGGAGGTTATGATGGCGGCATATTCTATGACAAGCACATCAGGTTTGCTAAATAATATATAATTATAGTTTTTTTATTTTTACAAAATTTTTATTTTGCTTATATTAAGTTGTTAACTTGACTCTTTTTATTCTAACTTGAATCTTTTTATTGTAGCCACGTGTCATTTTACGTTTCGTCATTTGATCTTTTAAAAAATCAAATGACGTTTGATCTTTAAAAAATCAAAAACGTAAAATGACACTTGATTCAAAGGATTTAGCATATTGCCGAAAGATGAAAAAGATAGAAGAAAGAAGATTGTGATATTCAACATTTATTGTGCGACAAACTGAGAAAACTGAGCTTTTATGATCTGAATAAAGTGAGGTCTCTTCCTGTCAGGATTCCGACTATTCAGCAAACAATAATAAGTCAAGTATTGATGCTTTAACAGTATAACCAAAAAAGTATGCAAAAGAAGTTGCAATAACAGGTAAGGCCGTGCACAGGTTTTGGGAGCCCCGAGAATCATTCTATTTGGGGCCCACCCCCTCCCCCATCCCTCCTCCTAAAAAAAGAAAACTCTCTTAAAACTTTTTGATTATATTTCTTATATATAATTGTAATTAAGAACTTCAGCTTTTGTTTCTTAAAATATTTTTTTTTTGTCTTTTGTTTTGCAAACTCTTTAATCCACATCATGGAAATCAAGATTTTGAGCTAATAGACACTCAAAATAGCAAGATTACTTATTTGTTTTTGTCCCATAGAGAATAAAAAATTGGAATTGAGGCAAAATACGCAGTGCAATCACTGAATTTCTGAAGAGTTCCCCTCATATCTAAAACTTTTTGTAACAAATCGAATGAGGAAAGTGTTTTTTTTCCAAACTTTGCAGATTGATATTGTTTTATGTGATGCAATTTTTCTGTCAGTTCATTTTCAGTCATGTCACATGAATATTTTGGCAAAAAATTGTTGCAGGCACTCTTTATCATTGCTTTATACATTTTTTTGGATATTCCCACAAAAAAGATAATATAGCAAAAATTTCTTGAATGACTGTGAAACGAGCAATGAGTATGCAAATCACAGAGTCAAGAATGTAATTAAAAACCGCTCCGAAATGTTGCTTCCTCTCCTGATTCTGTTTCGGTTGATTCCGTGATATGTTCATCACCTATAATTTGCTCCCAAGCAAAACCTTCGCGCTTTTCTTTTTGGTGGATTGGAAATTTAGAAGTGATTTCTGCAGCATCTGCAGCTAATTTAGCTTTTTTCGAAACTGTTGGCCATTCCGCCAAAACAGTTTAAGGTGACTGATCAATGCTTTAAAGCTTTTCACCTGAGTTTCACTTTATATGAACAGTTGCCTTTTTTTCCTAAACGAGCTAGTTTCAGTAGTTAATCAATGTGAGGATTTTCATCAAAATTTCAGAGAACACATTTGAAAGAGCTCAAATATTTCAGGGCACCTCTAATCTCAGTTTTTATTTTAGACGAATAAATACATGCTATGAACTTTTACGAATTACGAATTTCGCCAAGTCTTTTAGTCCATCACGTTTTTCATGTAAAAGATAAACCATGGAGGCTCTTTCCGTATTTCCCTCTTATTGACTAGCAAAGAAGATTTTATACACATTTTAAACAGTTCCAAAAAAAGTTTCAGCATCTGTACAGCTTGAGGCATCATTCTTTGCAAAAAAACTCAATTAATGATAACCACAGGTTGAGAATACAGACAATAGGTTCTTTAATTGTAGGATTGTTTGAACACCCTTGACATGTTAGCTCTATCGTCACAGTCTTGATCACGGGAGTTTTCAAAATAATTTCAAAAGTTCCATAAATTTCTAGAAATAATCCTGGAAAATTAGATCCAGTTTTCTTTGGACAATCTGCAAAGATCAAAAACCGTTCTTCAATTGAAATTTTCCTAGGTTCATTAATTATGTACATATCAAATAACAAACGTATTTTATTCAGTAAGATTTACATCAGGAGTGGTATCAACCATAATTGAAAAATATTTCTCAGATTTGCATTCTTATACAATTTGTCTGCGAACCCCAGCTGCAAAAGGATCAATAAATTAGTTTCAAAAACAATGACTGGTGTTTTAACATATCCAGTGGAAAGTGAACGTAACCAGCCCTGACAAACCTATCGAACTAAGTAAAAAAATTAAAAAAGGAAAAAAATTTAATTTTAAAGTCACCAATGTCAAATGGCTGCAGTAAAGCTGGTCCAACAGAGCTAGTGTAGAAGATTGGATGCTTCCGTCATCTTCTGCTGTGTCGAGCTAGTAGATGGGGCGTCTAATATATATATATATATATATATATATATATATATATATATATATATATATATATATATATATATATATATATATATATATATATATATATATATAGTTTGGAACCCTTGACAGTGGTTCCGTGTTGAACATGCTCGGGCACTACTAATATTATTAAGTTTAGCATTATAAAGAAATGGCGAAAAATTTAATTATCTTTCATTATAAACCAAATGCATTAAATACAATTTATCAAATATTTGTTCTTGCTTACTATCGTTCCAAAACTTATGTCAACAGGAAAAGTTTTTTCAGTTAACTAAAATTAGTAGAAATTTATATAAGTTCAACAACAGAACCTAATTAATCATTAAACACTTCTTTCCATAAAAAATCTCAAATATGAAATCCCTGTATATGTCTTCAAGATTTAGCTTTGCCTAACACCCCAAGTGAGCTTGGTTAGATCCTACATTCATTACTTATGACGTGTATATAAAAATATACTTACGTATAAATAAAAAAATACTTTCAGTCCTTTAATAACAATTTTTTACATAATCTACATGTTTTACATAAATATTTATACATTTACACCTCTGCCCTAGTTAGCCCCACTTAAAATAAATTCTCAGTACTTTGTATATATAAAGAAAATTTTTGAAAAAGGATTGACTTATAAACTATAATGCGTTACTATGTTCAAAGTAGAAAATCGTTCAAATCATTCAAGAATTTTATATTGTTTAAAAAACAACTTACAGATACAAATTATCTTCATTGTTCTCACTCATCTAAAAAAAATAAAAAAATAAATGTTTAAATAATAAAATAAACTTATTGTATGGGTAATACTCTCACCTGCCGAGTATAAGAAGAAGGTTTGTTAAGTTAAAGTTATTTTTTAGAAAAATTTTTAAATTTATTAAGCTCCCCACCCCTCCTTGTATTTTTCAGTAGGTAAGAGTACTTGATAATAAAAGATTCAATAAAAATGTCTTTAACAACTGCAAATAGTCTCTATTAAATCTACATAGATAAGTCTCTAAAAACTCTACATAGAAAAGTTTCATTCAATTGGGCACGGGACGTAAAAAAGATGTCTTATAAAAGTCTTTTGGATATATTTTGAAAATTTTGAATACGTTTTGAACGTTTTAGGTGGAGTGTCTACTTTTTTTGTTGTTATTAAGTTAACATAAAGATATAAAGAATTTTTTTTTATTAAATACTAAGCAGCCGTGGCGCAGTGGTTAGAGCGCTTACTTCAGAATCAAGGTCCGAGGTTTTATACCATCCTCGACCACATTTGCGACATTGATAAGAAAGGAGTCGCGAACTTCCTAGTTAAATTCTGCGAGGCGCTGTGAACTTTGCTACATAACGCCTCAGGCGTTTCTATTATTCGTCTTTAATTTTTCTTTAATTTGTTTTTAATTAATAAAGAGTTACGCTTTTCTCTTCATTTTATAAAGAGTAAACTAAATTTATATATTTTTTGGGTTCATTGTTTGTACATGCGTACATTGGCTTCGTAAGAAAAATGCATACCTACAACAAATAAAATAAAGAGCAAATATATTTAATATAAATGAACGTGAAAAAAAATTTTGAGCTAAAACGCGCTGTGAAACAACCACACGTAATAATAAAAAGTTACCTTTTCATAAATTTTCTCAAAACTGTCGTTAAAATTTGTTTTCAAATGAAACATCAAAAGAGCATTATCTTTTTCGTAAATTTTTATTTTATCGTTTAGTAACGCACATCTATGTTGAGTAAACATTAGCTTGCTTTTTAAAATTCCCTAGAAGCAGTAAATTATAAAATATTTAAAATTTTATTGTTCTATGTAATTAAAATATATGAAATAGTTTTCTTAGTTATTATCACCCAATATTATTTAACTATAATTTTATAAGTTTGTCGCAGTATATACCATGGCAATTCTGAAATTACCTCCTTTCTTTCGCATTCAGTAAGTCGATTTTCGGTTTGTTCAAGTTCACTAAAACAAATCAAATATTAAATAAATGAAGTTCTAAGTTGTTAATATATATATATATATATATATATATATATATATATATATATATATATATATATATATATATATATATATATATATATATATATATATATATATATATATATATATATATATATATATATATATATATATATATATATATATATATATATATATATATATATATATATTGTTGTTTATTATTGTATCTGGTTGAGATACAAATCCTCTTGTTTACTTGAGAGTGATCAATATAATGTAAAAATAATTTTTACAAAATAGATCAATATATATGTATATAAATAAAGTGTAATTAAATAGAAAAATACAACTTTATAATGGAACTAAAAGTTTCATGCCTATCGGCAATCTTCAGCCATATATATTATACAGCCATATATATTATACAAATGGATTTGTATAATATATATGGCTGAAGATTGCCGATAGGCATGAAACTTTTAGTTCCATTATAAAGTTGTATTTTTCTATTTAATTTCACTTTATTTATATACATATATATATATATATATATATATATATATATATATATATATATATATATATATATATATATATATATATATATATATATATATATATATATATATATATATATATATATGTATATATATATATATATATATATATATATATATATATATATATATATATATATATATATATATATATATATATATATTTATATATATATATATATGTCATGTAATAGTGGTAGTAAAAGATTTTAAATTGTATTTGATAATTATTTTGTTTTATGTATAAAAAGATTTTGAAAGTGTATACACTATTTGAGTTTTTATAAACCCACAAGCAATAATGTGTATAAAATGAGACTTCGTGAAGAGGTCGTATAAATTAATTATAGCTTAACTTATATTTAAAAAAGTTTAAAATTTACTTATTTATATAAGACTACTTACACCATTTTATTATTTTAATGCTTTGGTGAATTTATAAATGTTTACTATTGTTTTTAGTCATATTCTTTTTAAATTCGACTTCTTGTTTTATTTCTAAAAATCTAGACTCACGTGACATATATATGGCTACATATTAAATTATATGTATCTAATTTAAAAATAAATAAATAATTATTTAAAATATTATAAAAAGTTTAAATAAACAAATATGTGGGACCCATGTGGGTCCCACATATACAGCCCATATGGGCTGCCCACTTGGGCCTCAATTCACGCCCAGCGACAATTTTCTTTGGGCGGGATGTGGGCAACCCATTTGGCCCCATAAAGCTGCCCACTTGGGCCCCAATATGACTTGCTGGCTGGGTGAGCGTCTTTATATTTCTATAGTAGTTAATTCAATTTTAGTAACTAATTCAAAGAAATCTCAGGAATATATTAATAAAAATTAGAATATAAAAAACACCTTAAAAAGTAAAAAAAAAAACTTTTATGAATCAAAAAAAATCTGCCTGAGTGTCATATATATCGCTCTCAAGATACTAACAAGTATTGGTACAAGGGCCAAAATGATTACAAACCCTCGTATATTCGTACAAATATTCGTTCAAATTCGTTTATAATTTGTTACAAATTTGTACAAATTCATTAAATATTCATTAAACAAATGCTTATATGGAAAAACCAAGAACGCAAATAAGACCCTAAATGGAATTATATGGTCAAGGTTACCAATAACTGAACTTGTTGGCATAGAAATACACAAGCGAGAGGAAAGAAATTCACAGATAAACAAAAAAAGTGTAGAAAAGGCTTGTGAGCCAGAACAAAAAAATTTTGTGATAAAAGAATTAGCAGGTTAAACTGGTTAATATATCAAACTGATCCTGGTAACATATCAAACTGGTGCTTGTAACATATCAAACTGGTGCTCGTAATATATCAAACTGGTGCTGATACCATATTAAACTGGTGCTGGTAGTAGTGGAGCATTTTTTTCTGTTTTCAATTTTTTACATACTTGCCATAACTCAAGACATGATAACTCGAGATTAAAACAAAGTTTTGAAGTTGTATTTATGTTGATTAATTACTCCGGATGACCCTTAGATTTTACATAAAACACTGAATATCTTGTAAAAATCCAGTTTAGGTGCGAGTTTATATCAATGTTTGTTTAAAAAAAGTGATGTTTTCACGGAAAACTCATTAACTTTTAAAGTAATATGATTTATGCAAATTCTATCGTTCATATGGAGTATAATAAATATAATCCATAAGTGCAAAAAAAATTTCAATTTTGCTTTCGTTTTATTAAGTTATAATATTTTAAAAACGTCATTTTTAAGAAGGGTACAATCGTTAATTTCTAAAAAAATTCCTCTATATTTAGAATTCTCTTGAAAAAAAAGAAAAGGTCCTTTAGAAAAAAAGTGAGGGTCATGTGCCCCTCGGTGTTGTTGGCCCTGGCTTCTGAAAATTTTGCAAAAGCTATTGACAAATTTTCAAGGCATAAAAGTACTATTACTTTGGGTTTTAACCACTTTTGTGTAAATCGGAAAAATATTTTAAAAAATGATAAATTTCTTTTAAATAAAAAAAATTAAAAAATTTATTTAAAATAAAGAAAAAATCTTTAATTGAGTTACAAACTCCAAACACAAGAGTAATTTCCTAAAAATTTCAAATCAAAAACTTTATTAGAAGTTGAGAAAACATGTTTCATGTCTAGCAAAGTATTAACTCAAAGCAACTTTTTTCTGCTTATACCAACCATTTATCGACCAGTTTTTACCTACACCATTTTTATGTACTTTTATCTACACAACTTTTATCTACTTTTATAAACTAGCAATTTATAATAGAGGAAAAAGTTTATGCTGTTTTGTTTCATTAATAATATTTGAGTTATCATTAAGTATTGCCCAAACACTCTTTTTCATTTCAAAAATAAACAGCCTGCAAAGTATTTACAGCTTTAACAATTATTTGTCGTTTGATATTTTTGTTTTTATTTAAAAAAATTAATTAGTTAATTTACTTGAATGACTGAAAAATAATTAAATAAAAATGGTAATTTTATTTGACTTTTCAAATTCTATAATTCCCTCTTCTTCGTCGTACTTTGTCATAAATGCCTGCCCTCTCTTCCTTCCCAAGGAACAACTTTCTACTTTGACGTTTCTTATAGCTTTAAACAAGTGCAATTTAAGATTTTAAGAGTTGAGGGAGGGTGGGTAGATATTTGATAAGTTAAATATCTTTTACTTATAGTTTTTCTCTTGTCTATAGAAGAGCAAAATGACGGCAAAAAAAAAAGTTGCAAAGGATTCCTTAATTAAATTCATTACTTACGTGACTTAACCTTACTTTCGTGACTTCCATTACATTAAACTTTTCTTAAAATTGTTCTAAATACGTTTTTGTTGATCCAAGTACGTCATACAAATAATAAACATTAAAAAAAATTACTATTATATATAACATAAAAAAAATAATATATATTAATAAATAAAACACTTAATAAAGGCTATGAGCCTATAAACCTGAAAATAAAAAAAATTAAAAAAAAAAAAGTTTTATTTTTTACAACATGGTTTCGTCATGCGCTTCACTGCATACTCTTAACTCTTCTTCAACTGCTTGTTTTTCCCTTTTTAATCTTTCATTTTCAAGTTTTAAGCTTTCATTTTCCTGACTTAATTTCTCAAGTTCGATAATAAGTTCTTTTTTTTTCATTTCAACACAAATTTCCGGAAACCTCATTTTCAAATAATTACGCGCTCAGTTTCAAAAACTTTCTACTTCTAGTTATTCCATTATTTTTATACAACGGTTCGTTTAACTGTTTCATATTCATACAATATATGAGAATTTGTAAGTGTGGTATTATTAGGTATATATGAAAGCTCATTTTTTTAAATGGGTTAGCGATTCTATTGATGACGTGATTTAAAAAGTGAAATGCAGAATAAATTATTAAAATGTTTAATGCTAATATGATTTATTTAATAATAAATCAAATGTAAAACATACAAGTCTAAAACAACTAAAATATTCGTTAATTTTTTGACATATAATGTTTTTCGATTCGAATTTCACATTTATTTAACTGGCATTGATAGGACTGGTCTTAATACAACAAGTTTATTAGGTCTTTTAAGACCTAATAAACTAGTTGTATTAAGACCTAATAAAACGGTTACAAAGTGTTACAAAAATAAACGGTTACAATAGTAACCAATTACAATATAAAAGTCTTAGTTCTTGTAAACTGAAAAAATCTGTTAGTTTTTAAAAACTTTAATTTAACTTGATTGCTAAATTTAATCGACGAAGATAAAATAATCGACGATAATACTTTTAAGTTGCCTTGAAAAGAGTAATAATAGCAAATATTGTACAATTAACGCTTCGTATTAACAATAATTGAGCTTTATTATGAAACACTTTCGCTTGATTAAAATCTGCTTTGTTTGAGTTTCTTTCATTACATACTGGGACGGATACAAAGGAGGAGGGGGGTAAAGAGTAACAACCCGCTTCCCTACCCCCTCCTCCTCTTTTTCAAGCGTCAAAAATTCTTGATACATTTTTCAAATAAATAACAAAATACAAAACATGATTCTGCAGCTAATTATTAACATTTTATTTTTAGCAAAAAACAATTATTTATATACATACTAATGACATTTTTTAACGCTGTGAATTGAGAACCCAGAGGTCCAAGGTTCGAAGCCGGCTCAGCCCAATAAGCGATAACTCAGACAGATACTTCCTGCCTGACAGAACCACTGCATTACGGTCATGTGCGGCAGTGGCGTAATAGTTAGAGCGCTTGCTGTATAAGCAGGAGATCCAAGTTCGAAACGAGCTTTGGACATGTTTTGTGACATAGTAAGAAAGAAGGCGTGAACTTCTTGGTTTAATGCACTTCCGTGGTGCTCTGTGACAAGATCGTTAGGACTTCTTGATGCAACTAAATAACAAGTAAAAAAAATTAAAATTAAAAATAAAAATAAAAAGATAAACAAGCTGATAAGTTGTTGAAAATTTTATACTTAGTATTATTTATAAAAATTTACCAAAAACTGTATCTGTTGGCATGGAATGCATAGAAATGGATGTACATTCAGCTATTGTTTATTTTAATGATGAGTGAAATAGAATACTGAAGGTTTTAGAACACTTTGGCTTAAAAGGGAAAATTTTAAAGGCTGTGGAAACAAAGTTAGATAAATCACGTATTAAGTGAATGGATAAAAAGTTCACGAATGCAGAGAAAAAGCGTAGAAAAAAATTGCGAACCAGAAAAAAAGGATTTTTTTATAAAAATTAGTGAAAAAGAATCAGTAGATTTATATCAAACTGGTTCTTACTGAGAAGATAACTTATTTTTAAACATTTTATTTTTGTTTTGCATTTTTCTCTGTTTTTAACTTTTTGAAAACTTGCTATAACTCAAAACATGATAACTTAAAACAACTGAGCATTTAACTTGAAATAACTAAGCCTTTAACTTGAAATTTTCAATTTGTGTTTAATATGATATAATATTAAACACAATGATCTAATGAAGATTTTTATGTAAAATCCAAGGTGACCATTGGATTTTACATAAAACTCTTCATATCTTATAAAAAATTTAGTTTAGGCGCAAATTTGTATCTACATTTGTTTTGAAAAAAAGTTGTACTTTTACAGAAACTTTAATTACCCTTTGGGTAAAATGATTTATGCAAACTCCGGAGTATAATATAGGGTTGTTAACCGGAGGATTTCGTGCAATTCCGGAAAAACAACATTCTTTCGTAAGGAGATTGAGAACGAGGAATTACATTTTTTCGTACCGAATGTTACAAAACATTTTAAATCGCCGATGTTCATTTCGCAAAATTCACTTCCGAAATTTAGCATTTCGCAAGTTGACATACGAAACAAAACTATTTTGCAACATACGAAAGTACGGTTTTGGAAGTCGCAATTGCGAAACTAACATTTTCGCTAATCGACGTTTTGAAGTCTATAAAGAAATTTTGTTTGCCAGTCTCATTTTAATTGTAAAAATTAACATCTTTATATCCCAAAATTGATGTGTAGGAATATTCATGTTTTTTTTTTTAAAGCATATGAAATTTTTGAAACAGGTTCGAATATGCTTAAGCAAATAGTAAAAAGAGGCTCAAAAATATGCTTTAGCTTAAGCATATTTCTGATAAAATATACATATTTCAATAATTTCTAAAAGTGTGCACGTTACTAAAGTTCTAGCAGATTTTAAAAGTATTTAGAGTCCTGTTTGAATACGCTTTTCGAAGTATAGATCTTAGAAAATATTGTTTTTTAATTTTAATAAGATATAAATTTGAGTATAAGATTGTATAGTTCAATCAGTTAGATACGTGATAATTCGCCGCAGAGATCCGGGTTCGCATCCCGCAGCCATTGTAACTTTTGTTCATTAAACTCTTTTTACTTAAGATAGCATTTTTTGACCTCCATGTTCTATATTACAGATCTTTCGTCACCTTCACAATAGTGACAACCTCTCTTCTGTTAGTTATTCTTTTAAGATTGAGTTCATTGTGCTTAATTCAACACGTTTCCCTTGCTTTACTAAGTTCTACTTAAATTATGATGAAATGTACGTAAAACAACTTTTTCAAATAATATAAATCATTCTGCTTTAAATCTTTTGCTTTTTGTACTAGACATCTGTCCTAAATACTTTGTAATAATTTCTAGCTAACTCTGAGTCTAATATAACTATTTCTGAATATAATTTCCCTGAGGCTCCTACAGCCTATTGTGTTCCATTAAAAGTAACTAGTTTTTGAGTCCAGATATTAATTATAAGCATCTAATTGTTCACATTACTATTCATTTTCCTGATATATAGAATCCTATTTGCATTCGTATCTCTTTCTGTAAATTCTGTTTTATTTAGTTTCTTGATTATACATTAAATAAATATTACTATTCACTTAGTTGAATGAACGTATAGTTCATTCAGTTAAGACATTTGGCCGCGTAGACCCAGGTTTACATCCCGCTGTTTCACATATATTTCTTCTCTTTTTACTCTTTCTGATATCATTTACCTTTAGAGAGATCTCTCGTTCTTTATAATAAAGTATTTAATTGTTTATCACACATCCTCTTTATACTTTTTAAAAGGAAAGGCATACTGTTTATCTGTTCATTGAGAGTCCAACTTAACGGGATTTTACTGTATGTATATGTATATATATATATATATATATATATATATATATATATATATATATATATATATATATATATATTAGGTATATTTGTATAAACATTTGAAGAATCGTTTGACAACATTTTTTTATAATTTTATTATTTATTATTTAAACTGTTAACAGTTAATATCTTAAATATATCGTAACATAAAATCTTTTGCGTCTATTTCGTAACTACACATTCCGAAATGCTTTTTCCGTAAGGAACTATTTCGTAAGTGTTCTTACGAAATGATTTGTTTCGCAAGTTTTCTTTCGCAATGCTTTATTACGGAATTTTATTTACTATTTATATTTTCGTATAGCGCGTTACGGAATGTGCATTTTTGCATGTGCAACTTCCGCAATAACAATTCTATTACGGTAGATAAAGATGCGAAATTTTCGCAAGTTTTGTTTTTCGGCGAACAACCCTAGTATAATATAATAATATACATAAGCACACAAGGATTTTCACTTTTTTTTTAATCAAGATATCATAATTCAAAAACATCATTTGTAAGTGTCAAAATTAACACATTTTCCGCCATAATGGAATTTTGTTTAAAAAATAAAAAATATTTTTTATGCAAACTATTTCTCTTAACGTATTTAACAGTTTTAATAAACTAAAATATGTTGCAATGAAGAATTTCAGAAAGTAGACTATTTGCATCCTTACTACCTTAATAAAAAGGCATTTACTTTTTAACAATTGAAGCTGTCTTAATTTTTTTTTTTTTTTATAAGATATGAAAAAAAATATTTTTTTAAAAAGAGTTACTGAATTAGTTTCTTATGAATTAGTTTAGGGGTTGTTCATAAATTTTGTCACGCCCCTTCCCCTTCAACCCCTCCCCTCGTCACAACAACTTTAACACTTTAGTAACAAGCCCCATATGAGTCGTCACAAAGCCGCTAATCCTACCCCCTTTTGCCAGAGGGTGACGTAATTTGAACGACTCCTTAGGGCTGCTATACGTCCCAGTACACCAAGACAATATTTTTTGTGATATATATACACACTACTCTATATGATATATACACATAAAGTGTTGGAAAAATATAATGGGACAAAAAAAAATAATATCTGCCTAGCTAGTAAAGGGCGTCCATAAAGGACGTCATTCAGAATTTAAATACTAACCAGAAGGATAAGATTAATGGCCCCCGTTTGCGGAGATTTTTATATGTCGCTATAATGATCTAAAAACCTCTGCGCATGAGGGCCAACATTCTCTGACTTCTTGCCATTAGTTAAACTTGAAGTCCTTTATAGATGACCCGCGTGAAGTCCTTAATGGATGACCCCTAATAATTATTAATTGTCTGCTTCTATTTTAAATAACGGTTTTGTTTTTATCTGAATTGTTCGACAAAGACAAACAAATGTTAAACAATTTAGATGACAAACTTGACTCATGTTAATAATTTTAATCATTAAAGTTAGATGTCCTTGATTTTTTCGTTAATTTATGCGGAAAAATTTAATGGGGCGAATTGTTTTTCACAAAAAATATATTATTTAATTCTAATTTATAATTTGTTTTGTAAGATAGTATTAATTTTCTGAAAGTAAAACGCTTTTTTTTTTCTCTCGAAAAAACTATTTTATGAAATATTTTGGAGCAAATTCTA